GTCTTCAACAGTTTTGCACCTGCCACCAGTTACGCAATGGCTCTTGTTAAATCACCCGCAAACCATGGTTCAGCCCCTCGCGCGAAATTCCAGTTTGCGAGCGCAAATTACTGCACGCAAAATTGGATCTTGATAAATCCGGCCCTATGTTGCACCAGATTGAAATAAAATATATACACAGATATTATTATTATAGTTATCAATAAACATAAATTATTGCCAAACATGCTGTTGAGTAGTACAAGACATATTGCCAAGAAGATCTTTCCACCAAAAACTACTGTATTTTCTGGACTATAACTCACTACTTTTCGTACCATCAGCTCATTTGCGCATGCGCATCGAGATATACATCCGGGTCGCCCTCAATTCATTAAAAAAAGACTTAAATTATGTTTTTCTCTCCCCTGAAATAGTAAGCATACTAAACTTTAATGTGTGAAAGGTTGATAATGTATTTCCTGAGAAAGTCAATACCTTAAAATCTGTTTTATCACTCTTCTGTGCCCGATCTGTACGAGAAATGAGATCCTATGCTTCTTCCTGGAACTTTTTTGGGCTTGGATTTAAACATACATCTAGTCTTTTTGAGTTTTATTTTTTCCGTTTGTCTTAACTTTATGGTATATAGTGCATAATCTACAGCAACAACAAAACAACAAACAACAAAAATGCAGATAAACATGGTTTAATCATATTTTGCCAGACTGCTCTACTCCTATATGTAGCGCTCCCCCTACAGGTTTGGTGGAGACAGTTCAGTAAATATAAGCGACTTATAGACCATTGCGGCTTATACAGATATAAATGTTTTCAATTTTTTTTTCCAAAAAAAAAAAAAAAATTGTGGGTGCTGCTTATACTGAGTTGCACTCTATAGTCTGGAAATACGGTAATCACAAATGTCCTTACTTTTAGTGCTATATCCATGGAATTTTAGTTTGTAGATTTTTTTTCACCATTAATGAATGCCTAAATAAAAAAAGAAGAAAAACAAACAACTTGCTGCCCTGTAAGCAAAATGTCCTTCTCTTTTTCATTTTTTTATTTCAGCAATCTAGTGTGTGCAGAGCTGGTCTACATGCTGGTGTCATTGATAACGATGGGGGTTGGCTGGATGTGACGAGACAAGGCAGAAAGGACTATTTCATCAAATCCAACAAAAATGGAGTCCAATCTGTAGGGTGAGGCATTGATTTTAGAAATGGATGTATTCTTACTTAATAGTAACCTTGCTATAATGGAACAGAAGCTGAAAGGAAAAGTCTAAAATAATCTAAAGTTGATTTACATATTTCATCTTAACAGAAAATATCAAAGTGCCAACTCCTTTACTGTTTCTAGAGTGGCAGGTAAGTCTGACAGTGAGAAACAAGTTAAACAACTATACATTTTTGAGATTTGCTGATTTCTGCTGCATCAATATTTGCCAACAAATTTTGTACGCTTTGTTATAGTTAAAGCCATTACATGTGAAACCACAGTTGCGCAGTTGTGTCCATATGAAAGGCCTCCAAGACACTGTCCACGGTTTGAACCTTCTTGTGTTTCCTATTTCGGCACCATGTCTCTGGTGTCCAGTTTTGTCCTTACCAATTTTGTATTTCCTCTAAAATGATTGTACTTTCAGGTTATACTGCCCAATGAACTGTTTAGGAGAGAATCCTCACCTTTCCAGGGTCATCGGTACCAGAATATACTCTGATGTAAGTTCTTGGTTTTTAAAGAAAATTTAAAAATCACCATTCACAAACCTTTAGTTACTCATACTTTTCTCCCAACTGGTTCTTACAGAGGTCCAGCATATGTCGGGCAGCTGTACATGCTGGAGTCATTGGGAATGGAGTGGGTGGTTACATAGACGTGATGCCAGTGGAGAAGCGGAATCACTATGTATCCTCATACCAAAACGGTATTTTCTCTGAGAGGTAAGACANGTGATGCCAGTGGAGAAGCGGAATCACTATGTATCCTCATACCAAAACGGTATTTTCTCTGAGAGGTAAGACAAAGATTATTTCTATATTATATGTATAAAGTATAAAGAAATAATGTGCGTATATTAGTGTAAGTATGAGCATTTTTTTTTTTTAAGCAATTAGCAAGTTTTTTTTTTTTTTTTTTGTATTTTCAAAAATTCACAAACATTTCAAAGCCAATCAAGGAACTTTGACAGGTAAAGATACATGCCCAGGAGCATTTCTCCAAATTATTATGTAACCCCGACATCTACTTTGGCCATCCAGACAGTGCATGTGTGACAGCATAGCAGCATCAAATAGAAGGAGCTGAAAGTCTTATTTTGTACACATATTCATGTGCATTAACCATGCATGTTTAGTAAAATAAATGGCCCTCTTTATTATTTTTTGTTTGTTTTTTTGTTTTGTTTTTGCCAGTTAACTTTCACAGATGAATTCTCTATTCTCACTTTTTTCAGGTTAAAATCAATTTGACTACTTTTTGAAACCTTAACTTTGAAGTATAGATACTTTATTTTAAACTCCCATATAGTGAGCCTCGGAGTACAGCTGCACGATTTGAACTGAATGTGATTAAAAGCTCAGCAATTATTGTTGAGAAAGTTAGGGACTCATTATTTATCTCTGAGAGCTGTCTTAGTTACTTTTTCTAAAGGAAGCAATGAAGATTGTATGAAAAATCAACAGCCTTTCAGTAAAATTCTTCCAACCTGGTATTAGCTTCTCACTTTTTGAAGTATGTAGTGACAAAACTTATAGTGTTTCATAAATGAAAACACATATGTATTCATACAAATATATTTCCTAAGTTGTCTGGGACAACCTTGCTCATGTGACCAATTAAAAGCCACCTTTGCAAGATGATGTTTAACAAGAAAGCAATTATTCTGTTGTGGGGCTTAGCTTCTGAAGTTTGATAAACTTAAAGGGAAAAAAAAGCTAAAACTTTTTTTTTGTCTCTGGCTGTGTCTCTGACGTCCGCCCTAACCCCTAACTCCTTAATTAGTATATAGAGTGGGGACTATGCAGTGGACTTTATAGTGCTCTCAATTAACTGACTGTTCGGACAGATGATCACTACTTGACTCTGGCTTCCCATTCCAGCTTCCCAGCTTCCAAATCCAATGGTGCTTTTGGAGGAGAGCTCTTACAAAGCATTCTGGGATATATAGGTTTGTGTAGTGATCATCTATGTACACTACTTTCAGACATTTAGACAGTCATATAAAATGGTATAACCCCTTAGGTTAGGATGGATGTTCGAACACAGCCTCTATCAACATTT